GGCCATTCAGCCAGTGTGCATTTTATATATGCGTTTTCTCCATTCACACTGACTTGCTGGAGTTGTATAATATGCTTCAGTTTCCCCATTTAAGTCACCGCCATTACTGTGCCTGTCTTTGATTAGCGTAGATTAAAGTGTAGGAGAGAATATATGGCTCGGTAAAGACATAAAGTAAAAGGATGGAATTTAGTTTCCTCCCCACAAAAAGCCTTGGATGATATTAAAAAGTCTTTCATTTACAAATGTCATAAATATTTTTTCCTGCCTTCTGTGGGCAGTAACTTCAGTTGTAAAATACTCGCCTGTGTGACTACAAGCTGTCAGGAAACGTAATAGTAGATTTACAAACTAAAGTGGGGATTGTAGTGGAATGGGAAAATGTGCACTGCATCTCAACTTCCTTAAGTTGGTGAGGGTTATACATGGCCGGTCACCATCTGCCCGTCCAGTATGTTCACCCAGCAGCCACTCGGATTGCCGAGTTGAGCATCACAGGCAAGCTGACTTCCCATCTACTGGTTCTTCTGATCCGAGTCACATATGACTTGCATTTCCTGCAGCTGAACACACAGTGAGGCTTGCTGCTATTTTAATGTAGACACTTTCTTAATGCACATGGTAGTTAACTGTGCGAGACTCCCAAAGATGAAGAAATCAGCTGACAACCTGGCAGACTGTATCGCTTTAGAAAGTCCTCCCTATGTGTGTTACCAATCCTGTATCAATGGAAACTGTCGAGGCACACAACCCATGTCTCCCCACTGTGTGATGCCTTCATACATAAACCTCTTCGGCAGTGTCAACAGCTTTTTTTTTTTTCTTTCTTAATGCTCTTTACTGCTGTCATTTCTACCTTGGATTTCTATAAATTAAGTACTATATTCTAAAGTGTATTCAGAAACCTTGGCGTGATAGAGCACTTGGAGCTTTGATTCCATGCTGATGAAGCTTGATGGGCTCCTGGCGCGTTTTATTATCCACCAATCACCATCCCTCCTCCAGACGCTGCCTCATCAAGGTCAGACTGTCGCGGTGTTTGGGTGTGTCTGTGTTAATGCTCGGCCAGTGTGACCCATATCTGTATAAAGTAAATACCTTGACAGAAAGGAAACGCACTATGTCGACCCCTTACCCATTTCATATTCTTTATTCTTTGAATATTTATGTAGTTTTATACTTTATGTATTTTTTAAGATTACATTTGCACGTCTTTACAGATCAAAGAAGGAAAAATATGGACATTGTTGCTGTTATTTGTTATTCTTTTTTTGATTAAAACTCCATTTTTATGCTTTGTTAATGAAACACTGTTGCTGTAATATTCATATCAAATAGCTCATGCAGCAGTAAACTGAAAAAGAGAAGAGAGAGATTGGCATATGTGGTGCAACAGCAGCTCAGCTCAGCTGGTGCAGTCTGACCTAGTTAGAAACAAAAATGTAAGTACCAAGGTGCCGAGCCGCCTGTTTACATCTTCGGCCGCACATAGCTGCACCTTTGAGCGCGGACAGCTGAAGTCAAAGGTTCATGTCAGGTCACAGGATGCTCCGCTGTCACTCTCATTTACATTTACACACGATAGCCACTGTAAAGCAGCATTTTTTTATTTTTTGCGACCGAGCAGAATGTGTCAGAAGCTATCAGACTGACTCCTGCGACGGGGGGCCCCCACCGATGCCCGTCGTTGCACTGCAATACATGTTCATTACATGGACAATCGTATATACAAGAGAACACACTGAAGTGAAAGAGATGGCGCCAGACAGATCTGCGGACCCCTTTTAAAACCAGGCTGTGTTCTCTGAGTGCTGTCATTGTAAGCTGGACTGTGTCTGGGTCAGACGTTCAGCTCTTCATTGTGCATTTACAAACCCTCTCGAAAAAAAAAAAGCTCCCGACACTCAGACTGCACTCTTGTCTTTGATATGAGAAAATGCGGCTTATTTTTCAGCTGCTACATTCACAAAACTTTGGAGCGCGCCTTTGTTTATGATTCTGCTGCACAGTCGCGTAGTTCAGAGGTAATAATACTAAATATTACAAATCGTTCTTTTTAATAATTAGAGCACTTACTAAGGCTACAGTATTTAGATCTGGGTTTAAAGTGCCAGAGTGGATATGAAGCACTTAATTTTATTGCTGGCTGAAATTACATGCAGCTTTAGCTATTGTGTCTTACTTCAACTGCTTTTACTGTGAAAATGGTTTATTCATCAAAGGTAACGCCACAGAACAGCCCTGTTTTCTGGCTGAAGCCGGAAACCAATGGATGGCTCCCTCTGGATTTGAGGTGAGCTGCCGCCCCAAGTCTAGGAGTTTAAGAATCTTTGGCTTCTTGTTGGGAAAATGGAGCATAAAATGGACAAACAGATTGGTGCAGCAACAGCAGTAATGCAGGTATTGGAGCATGGTGAAGAGGGAGCTGAGTCAGAAGACAAAGCTCTCGATTTACCAGTCAGTCCTCATTCCAGTGGACCCGTGGTCATGAGTTCTGGGTATGAGATTGCAGATAGAAGCGGCCGGGAGGGGTTTCATGTGTAGGATGGCTAGGGGCAAGCCTTAAAGTTAGGCTGAGGAGCTCGGAGGAAGATCGGAGTAGAGCTGCTGCTTGCATGAAAAGAACCCATCTGAGGTGATTTGGACATCGAGTTGGGATGCCTCCTGAAAAACCAGCTTTTCCAGGTACAAAAATGGACGGATTGATGGATTAAAATTTTCACGTTTGCTGTAATTATGGAGTCTTAAATTTGGAGACTAGTTCACAGATACAAAAGCGTAGCTGTAAAAATGCTGATTAGATTATTTGGAGTATTTCTGGCTGGAGTCGTGCTGGGAAGGTGCTGGTTGAATGTTGGCATCAGCTGCAGGAGCTGGAATCAGCATGTTACAGGTGCAGCTAATTGGACTGATAAAACATGGATGGTGATTAGTGATTAGTGTGTGTGTGTGTGTGTGTGTGTGTGTGTGTGTGGGAAGCGAGAGGAGTGGTAGCTTTAGGCTTTTATAATTGGATTAAGTGAACCAGAGAGGAGTTGCATTTTAGATTTTAAACTGATAGGATAATGGAGGGAAACAGTAAAATATATGAATGGACAGAAGCCAAGAGGAAGTTATGAACGAAGAAGGCTTTCTGATAAAACCCTCATTAAGCTATTAAAAAAAACCGTTGATCTTCAAAAGCAGCCTCGCAATCATTGCAGTTACAGCTATTTCTCCGCTGTTATGAGAAACCCTTCATACAGTTTAAATCAGCAGGAAGACCTCTGGTGACACTGTTTTAATTACATGACGATAATTATCACCTTTCACCTGAAGTCTGGCAGACGTGGGAGTGCGTATTGTTTGTCAGTTGAGGCTCACTGCAGAAAGAAAACAAATGTCTGCTTAAGGGAATGAGCTGTGCTGCACATGCAGACACAACTTCACCCCACTTTGATTGCAAAGCGGTTGCGCTGGATTGGACCCGACATTACTCTGCACTGTAAGAATGAGTAATTAATCCGTAATCCACAGCAAGCCACACGAGATTAAATTAAAACTGTTTTCTGCGGCTTTTTAGTCGGCTGTTGCACTTAACTATTTCTATTTTCATGCATTCTTTGGAGATGTTTAGTTGTTTAAATGAACCTGTAATCATTTGCATGTTTCACTACAATATACCAAATTTATTTTCTTTTTTCTTTTTTTTATGATTTGGAATCACTTGTCACTTGGACACCTGTTTCCTTCTAAAGGAAACAGGTGTCCTGCAGCAAAGGAGATACTTTTCATGATTTAATCATTTAAAAAAACAAACTAACAATGTGCCCGTGCCCTGAGCTTTTGTTCAGAAAGGGTGTGAGCCTGAAGCTCAGGATCCGTGCCCTCCTCCACACCCTATTGTGTGGTCATTTGGTTTACACATGCACTAATGTGTGTGCTTGTGTGTGTGTCTCATGTGTCCGGGAGAATAAGGGGGTAAGGGTGATGTCATATTTGATGACATCATTGCAGACGTGCAGGGAGTGCCGATTGGCCGTCAGCTCTTGTGAACCAGTTCTCCACAGCTGCCCTGCCTTATCGGTGCGTCCCGCCCGGCCCTTTATGCCCCGGTGCCAGCTCTGCCAGAGTGTAAGCCCTAGAAATAGCATCAAGCTCACCCCTATCTCCTCTGCCAGTCTACCAATCCAGGCTCAAATTGAGCATGGCAATACCCTCCCACCCACATTCCAGGCTCACTGCTACCAACCCTTTGGCTGGCCCCACTGGCCAAGCCTTTTTTCTTTTTTTTTTTTGCCAAAGCTGAGCTCTAGCCTCGTATGTTCAGTGTTTTATCTGTCTGAGCCTCAGCGTGAGTCTTGGTCTCCCAGCTGATCTGAGCCCACGCTCTGGGCTGGTTGGAGGCACACACACACACACACACACACACACACACACACACACACACACACACACAGCCCTCCCAGTCCCAGCTACAGCGGTGGCAACAGTGGCCAAGAGGGGAAGCAGCTCACCTCGCACCAGAGTTGACAGGACAAAGAGCACACATACACACTCCCAGTGGAGCTACACAGGGGGCAGGGCCAAGCTAGGCTGCACTACACACAAACGTGATCCCCCCACCAACCGCACACACACACACACACAACACACGCAGGCTCCTCCCTGCACACGGAGACAGCGATGGGAGGTGCAGTCAATCACTGACAGTGAAAGGGAGAGGGCTTCAGCTTGAGTTACGAAGAGGGGGAGGGACAGCAGGGGGCGAGAGGGGGACGAATCTTCATCACTCCCAAATCAGAGTCAAGTGTCAGGGTACCTTTAAATTCATTCATGCGGGAGTGAAAGAAACAAACAGAGGAGAAAGGGGGAGTGTGTCCCATTTCAGAGACAACACAGGAAGTAGGGCATGCTCTGTACGGGGTGAGGAAGAGAGGGGTGGGAGAAAGAAAGGAGGAGAGGGAGCAAGAGAGAGGGAGAGCATTGTAGCGCTCATTCTCCACCCCTCGCCTTAAAGCAGCAGCAGGAGCAAAGAGAGACGTAGTCAGGGAGAGAAGGAGGAAGAGAACCACAAGTAAGGAAGAGGAGAGGCTGAGCGGCGGTCTGCATCGGCAGCATTGGGGGAAAAAAATGGAGCTTTGAATTCGCCTTTGCCCTCATCCATCTCTGCCTTTCTTTTTTTTTTTTTTTTTTTTTCCCCCCCTCTCCTCTTATTCTGACTCAGCCTCGGTTTCTCTCTCTGCCTGCCTTCGATTGTTCTGTGAGATTCTGACAATGCCTGGTGAGTGTTATCCTGCCTTTCACATGTCACTCACCATCCTTTGTGCGCTGGTTTTGCTGGGGGTTTTTTTAATGCAGCAGGAGATGATTTTTGATGTGAATGTGTGACCGCAGAGAGGAATGTGGACTGTGCCTGTAGATGTAGGTGCTTCATTCAGACTGTTTACGCTCCCCTGCCTCTGTGTGCTGTTTATACTCCAGCTGTGCTGTTCTCTTCCTCCTGTGCTTATTCTCTATCAGTGACAATGCAAGGGAGGCTGCTTTCCTGAGCGCACACACACACACATACACACTCTACTACATCCTGCGTACATTCAGGATACTCAGTCATTATTATATAATTGCTTTCAACTCCCAATTGGTTTTCATTCAGGAGAGTGCATTTACTATGTGTGAGATTATAAAGCAGCAGAAATGGTGATGCAAACGTGTCATTTTTTTGGTTGTTGTTCTTTGTTTTGTGTGTGTTGACCATATCCTAAATGTAGCAACATCACACAAAGCTGGCCTGTGTGGCGGAGGGCAGCCAGCTAACACAAATCAGATGACTGGGCCACACTGTGAGGTCAGCCGCTGGTTTTGGCTGGCATTCTCAGCCCAAGTCGTATGTTGGAGGCAATTAGCAGTCTAAAGAGGTGTGTGTGTGTGTGTGTGTGTGTGTGTGTGTGTGGCCAGAGAGTTTGTGGGTCTTGCAGAGCAACAGCTCGTTTCACTGTAGAAACACTGAAATGTCTGCACAAGACATGAGGAGATGAGTGGGAAAGGATAGTCTTGGTGGTTAGTTCGTCCAAACCTCAGGGAAGTTACTGCCAGTAACCTGTGCTATATTCTAAAATCACATTAAATGTTATCTGTCACACATCGTCACGTCAGCTATCCTAGATGTATTTACATTGTATGGATAGCTAAATGGATTACCTCAAGATGATTTGATCCTTCCACAAGCCTCCGGTCTCTTTAAAATTATATTCCGATACAACTAAACTGTATTATCAATTACCATTCAAGGGAAAGTCCCGGATTATGTTTGTGTTGTATACAAATCTAATCAACATATCTTTGCCATTTACGTTATTGCTTTACCGGTCATATATTAGATGGGGCAGGACTCGTCACCCTGGTAACCCTGAAAATGGGAAAGAAGCTTAAAATATATTATGAAAGGACTGCATTTTAATCCAAACCATGATATTTTCTCTAACCGAGCCAAGTCATTTTAGTGCATGAAAGCTTTGAACATGCACTTAACATTGTGAAAAGGTCGGTTTTCACCCTAGATGTGACATTTTCTCAAACCTAACCACACAGTCTTGGTGGCTAAACCTAACCAAACAGCTAGTTAAAGCCTAAGTCGAAGAATGATGTTCCCACACAGACACAAACCTCAGTCTTCTGGGTGGAAGTATTGTTGCAGACTTGTGCCTCCTCATCCCCAACTGAAAGTGTTCCCGACAACATCACAGTCACAGGCATGTCTGTGATAACAAGAATGCACTTCATGTGTGTGGAAAAAGTGCTGCCATGGTTCAGCTAATGCACAGTTTTGCATCCATAGCAGAAATCACATCAGTGTCAAACTGCTCACGCTCCTTACACGCTGCTTACATGCATGAAATTAGTCCACACATCAAGTTTAATTAAGTTATTCCAGTTAGTTAAGTTATTCCGTTTTAATTTGTGTCATTAAAAGGACAAATTAAACAACAAGGCTGGTCACCCAAACCTCCTCTACCACATCATGGCTAAACACTTTCTGCTGGGGAGCTGAATTGAACCAAACATTTATTTTTCCTCAGAGGTGGTTTCATGGGAGACAAAGCTGGGCTTTGCTTTAGAAAACAAATAAATTGTTGTTTGATGGTTGATTATTTGTCTGCTTGTTTACTGCAGCATACAGATATGTTTCAGTGTGAGAGCTCAGCTGGTGGCTCTTGATTGTAGCCTGCTGCTGAGCCCTCTAGAACAAAAAATAAAGAAAAACTTCTGCATATTATGCTGCGAGCATTTGAGCCAGTCTATGTTTGTATGCTGTGACATTAGCCCGGGGTGCTGTATGTGCTTGCATGAATGAGCAAATGTTTCTGCACATATGAATGTATGTTCACATACTGTATTCATACTGTATGCATTTGTTTTGAGCAAGTAGCTGTGTTCCAACAATCCTTTTTTTTTTTTTTTAGTCGGAGCTTGCTAGCTGACTAGACGAGGAGCGAGAAATAGAACTGTTGGTCGTAAACCTGCAGTTTGACCAAGAGAAAGACATGGTTAGGGTAAATGTGAGAGGCAGTGTGAGGAAGTAGAAAAAGATGACTGAAAGGACCAAACATAAGAGGGTCAACAGTCAGCAATTGTTCATGCTCCAGTATTTTGTGTACAATTTAATTCTGGGTGGCTTAACCTCTTATACAATGTTCACTTCACCTTCCAGATAGTTGCTTTTAATACTCACTCCTGGTTGTGCAATGTAGAAAAAGTAATATTATGATGTTGTATGTATTCTGTAATAATTTCCCAGATGTCTGCGTGTTGCAAGCTTTACTTTGTCTCAGTGTCTTTCCGCCGCTCCTTCCCAACTCTGCACATCATTCCGTCTCTGTGTAAGCACTCTGTCACATCATTTCTGTGACGTCCATCGATTTACTGAGAGCTGATGAAGTGGAGCAGAGCATTTGATCAGACACATGTGCAGCCAGGGAGGGAGGGAGGAGCCGCACAGTGACGCACCCAGAGGCTACTCGACTCGGGGGGTGGTGGGGGGTCAAGAGATTTGGACCGTGCACGGTTTAGAAAGGGGGCAGGGAGAAGCAGGCACACTTTAGCACTTAATCAACAACGTTTAATCATGACTACACAAGCGTGAACGTCCGCTCAAGGACAGGTGTTTGCTCAGAATCACAGTTTGTGCACATTGTGTAAAAACAGCATTGGAATTCAGGCTATTCTCCATTTTCCTGGGTAACATCAGTTTCCAGAAAACCATTTAAGTTGGATTCATTTTTGTTTAGAAATTTAACCCTCTTAATTACAACTTGGGCGATTAAAAAAATAAATAAAATGGCGACATAGCTGGACAAAGCTTGACTGTTTTTCTTGAACGTGAATGCTTTTTAACCCTCCTGTTATCTTTCTGGAGGTTTAAATTGCTGGAGTCAAATTGAACCCAAGGATAGAAGATGTCAATACATTTGAAGGTTATAGGAGGGTTAAAAAAGACAGCTTCAGTATGACCCTTTTAGGTCATGGGATGTGTAGGACTGCTGCTTTATCATCATCACGTTGAAGTGACATCATTCTGTCATTCAGACATGGGTCACATTTACATTACTGTTCCTCGGGGCTTTATTCAGACCTCCTCATGACAGTGACAGAGAGAGGCGCAGTGCACATACGATTGGACAGTATGTCAAGTGTATGATGTATAAAAATGCACCAATAAACACAAGACTATAGCGTGCTCATCAAACTGTCCACATAACTCACAGCTAATAGCTTAAACGCTGAAGACGAAGCCTATGTGTGGTGATATTCAAGCTGCTACTCGACCTGAAGAGTAACAAATGATTGAACTGCAGCTCATAAACTGTGACTCAGCGAACTTGTCTAAGGTGACGAAAAGTCCACAGTGTGACTGGCACGTCCGTGTTTATATATAAATTATTAATAACAATTGTGCAATGCATGCAAACGCTTTGGAGACGCTCATGCGGACTCTGCCGCTGTCTAATGCTGCAACTATTTCATGAACTCAGACACTCCTATAAACAGCTGGAAGCAACAAACTTTCGCTCCTGTTAACGTTTTGTACGAAACCAGGATTACATCCATTATTCATTCTTATTAATCTGATCTGTTAAAGCCGGTCTTTTTCGCAGTAAAAAAAATGTGTTTTCATAGACAGTTTGTAATAGATGTGAAATTGTTGGGGGTAAAAAAATGAAAGAGAAAAGCTGTTTTGTGATTTTGGCATGCAAATAGTTTCTTTTGTACTCTGTGTGATGTTTTTGGACCAGTGTTGGTGCTGAGATGTGGGGAAAAAAGCTTTCCGCAAATCAGTTAGCTTAGTATACAGCTTGATTGTGTTTATCAGTTCATGCGACGGGATGCAGTTCAGACTTTTGCCTTGTTGACAGTGATACGGAAATATTACGTGGTCGGGCGTCGTAAGAGTTCCGTCGTGGCTTTTACGGAAAAAGTGATTAACTGACATGTTGAAAGTGTTGTTGGAATAATGGAAAGGAGTGCTTGTCTAAAAGGGTGTTTTTTTATCCCGCTCAAAGTTTCGTATTTAAATCAGCTGCAACAGTCAATTTGCAATACAGTTTTTGTATCAGTTTGTTGCATTAGAGCTGCCCCGTCTTTAGTACATGATCAAACATTAGACAATAGAGAACATTTGACACGCAATAAAGGGATGGCGTTAGGCCTGTTTAAGCCTAAATGATTTATCCGAAAAGGAATCACAGCATGAACGGAAGCGAGAAAGTCAGACCTTACATAAAAAATGTCTAATTTACAAGTATTGATTCAGTTTAATGATTTGAAATACATAATGCATGTCAGTGAACTTGAGGTTAGACTATTAGCCTCAATCTACTGCGATGACCGCTGAAAGGTGGTTCAGCAAAAAAACATAGTGGATCTCCTCAGCTCTGCCTGAGAGGGGATGAAAAAAGGAACATATGCTCATGATGAAGCCGTGTTGTGCGTTGTCAATAATTGAATCACTCATTTGCCCTCTCTTGCCCTGAAGGCTATAGTGCAGAGTCAATAGGAACAACAGGAGGGAGAAGCTCTCCAGCATCAGTCTTACAGGTTTCTGTCTGTCCTTCTGCTCTCAAACACTTTATCTCTGTCTTTGTATGTTTCTGTTACTCTGTAGCTGATGTTACTACCTCATCTTTGTTCTGTTTGTATGACTGTCTCTACAGTAAGCTGCTTTACAAAAATGAAATGGAGGACAGGCTGTAGAGGAATGAATGAAGGAACGAAGGGAACGATGTC